GCCTACATAGGAAGTACCCCAGAATTTGTGCAGTTTCATCTGCTTTCATAACAAACAACTTTGTTCTAAAAAATAGAAGTGTGTAAGTAACCAATAATTGGCATCCTTTGCAAACCAAAAGGCTTAAACCAGGGCTTAAGGGCGGTTATTTCAGTAGTAAAATGAATCATCTTAATATAATCCAGTCCTCCACGTGTGACAAAACATTCTGTATAGGTCAAGAAATGCCCTTACGATGTTTAGTTTTACTGGAATTGGCTAGAAAATAGGAGGAGCAGGTTCCTGCTGTCACCTATGCAATTGAACACTGTACCAAAGATTGACGTGCAAGTGGCCAGAGGATCAGATTGCCACATATATTGTTAATTAGTCCAAATTCTTTATAACTAGTAACTTGAGGACATCAAATCTGGAGAGCTAGGCTAATTAGAGAGGGGAAGAGGGGCAAGACCAAAATGAGATGAAAGACAAACCAGGCCTAAAGCCTTGCAGAAAGCAGAACCCAGTAGCATTGACAGCACTAGACCTAATGCCTTGAAGTATTTCCCATGGGAAACTAAGTGGCATGATTTGGTATTCTTGGTGCAGAGATGCAGAGGTTGGGCTGATGTAACATAAATATACATACTGTACTTGAATAACATTTTATTTTAAGAATAATTTTGTATTGGCTGACCTGTAGCATGCAGAATACTTTTATGTTCTTCTTTATTATTTTATTATAGAGAGGTTTCAAGAGCTTAATATATAAGGATAGTCAAAACAGTTGTATCTTCATTATGAGCCTCTTGGGACCTTATCCCATTGCCAGTTAAGTTACAAGAATTTTGTTTCTGACTTCAGTGGATAAGATCACAGGTTTTGTGGGAGCAGGGGGAGTTAGGCTCTGAATTGGGAAGTGAATAGTGCTCTGCTGATCTCCTCTGGAGTTAAGCAATAGGCTGGGGAAGTTAATATGCTTTGGTTAAAATACTGGAGGTGGTGAGTTTTCCCTTTGCAGGCTGCATGTGTATGTGTGTACATGTGTGTGTGTGTCTGGGAGAAGACTGGCAAGCCCACTCTGATATCTCAATTAACAGGAATGAAACTAAACTTTTACTTAGCTGCCAGGGGGAAACATATGATCCTTCATTTTGGATTTGTTTTTTTAATAGAGGTATTGGTATAAAATTGAATATTCCTTTGTTTAAAGGAGGGAGTTTTAATGAGTGTTACCTTATTTCTGCAGGGCTCTAGCCTTTAGATAAAAATCATCTATTTTACTCATCATTTTTCAGTAATGTATATTTAATATAGTCCTGATGCCTAAGAAAGGATATATATGATGGGGAAGAAAAGAAACATTTATTTTAAAGAAGCAAGATATTTACTCTTCAAAGCTGAGTCACTGAATTTATGGCACAAGAAGTTGTCTTAAAGACATGTATGTCTTCATTTTATTTTTTATGCTGTACCACAAATAATTTTGAGTGGCAAGACAACTGTTTACAAAGCCATGGAGCATTTATGAATGCAACAAGGATATTCTATAGCTCTTTTGCTATCTGGAAAGAATACCTGGTAGCTACTGGACTAAAAACACATTTTTCACATGATTCTCTTTGATACCAGTTTTGCGGCATCATCAGGTGCTTAGCACTAAAGGCAGCATGGTTCAGTCCTACAAAAAGAGACTGTGGGTCATTCTTCATGCTGATCATGTCATGACACTCAGTACATCATAGTGTCAGTGCTGTAATTCCTCTCTGTAGCTGTATACAGAGCTCTGTCAGAGAGCTTTCCTTGCAAAGCCTTTTGATTCTTGCTTGAAAGACACTCTGTAAGTGTTAATATGATTTCTTTTTCTTGGTCATGTAATATTTATTCAAGCAGTATCCCTACTTTCAGCACCACATCAGTTCCCAGTATATATCTGCCACCTGATGCAATAATCCTTTGTCTGGGATATCAAAATGGGTAGCTGTGGAATATATTGAAATGCCAGAGTGGAAGAATTATAATTTTGCCTGGGAAACCAGTAGAAGAGCTGAGAACACTTTTAACATGAAGGAAACTCCTCTACATATAAGCAGATTTCTTAAGACATGGTTTTGGGGTGTTGCAGAAATAATGTTTTGTGGTGGGATCCTCAAAAATCCGGAGCGGCTCTGCTAATGCCATTCTGCAGAGTCATGGCATTACTGAGTGAAACAGGGAGCAAAAAAAATAGTAAAGATGTGGATGTGGGGGTATGATTTGGGTCAATGGTGCAAATATAAGATGTGAAGGAAGAAGCCTATCCTTCCAGATTAGTGAAGCTAAGTATCTAGTCTGGACTCAGTAGCAGAAAAGCTATTGTAGTTTGCAGTGGTGAGTGGGTTGTGATTAAAGCAGCCCAGGGCACCTATGAAGAGTTTTGTAAATCAACAGTACCTCTTGGATTCTATGGTTTGCCTGTCACTGAAATTGATTTCACACCATTGTGTGCTTTTTGTAAGGGTTCTTAACAGCATTTCATTTAATTTTGTGACTTCAAGACACAAAGCAAAAGATTTCTGGTATGAAGAATGCAGCAACAGCAGGCTCCTTAAGAAGTCTTTCTCCACTGCTCTACCTCTCCTCCAGTTAAGGATGGCTCCTTTATACACGTCAGGAAAAGGTCTTTTCCCCACCTGTTTTAGTGAGCAATGCTTTAGTCATGCCTAACATCATTAATTAACTTTGCACTGATACACAGAGATGAAAAGTACAAGATTCTGGAGTGTGCCAAATAAATTAAAAAAAGAGATCAGGGACAAGGAACAAAACCTGCCCTATTCCTAGTCAGCCAAACAAAGGGAAAGTACCTACTATTTAAATGTGTTTGGATACTATATTACATACTATGTATACCTCTCCCCTCCCCTTTCTTAGGCTAAAGGCTGTCAGTTAAGAGTTGGGCCCCTGAGAGGATTTCTAGACAGAGGACAGGAGAGCCTGCAGTCTATATGGCAATGCCAAGATGCTGATTTTTTCTCTTCTAGCTGACACAATGGCAACTCTTTCTGAACCTCAGCTCTGCGGGGCACCAAGTGCTCACAGCGCTGAAGTGAGTATGTTGGGGGTTACAGGCACTCGGTCTGTGTTGGGTCAGAGCCCACAGCTGTGGGCTTAGCCCTTTAGCCCACCCAGCTCCTCTGCCAGCACACAGTGTGCTATGATGAAGGCTTTCAGCCTGTCACCTCACTGCTGCCTTGCACACAATTTATATGAAAGGGAAAATCGTATTGTGACAAGCAATAAATTCTCCACTCGGGTGTCTTAAGCAATGACTCATTAAACCTCCCAGGAAAGAACAGGAGTTTTGAAATAACTTCTCAAAGGGAAAACTGACACTCCTTCAAGGAACTTAATTGTTTCTCGCATTGCTTCTGCCCTGTGACCATAATGTTCTTAATATACCAATCTGCATATGTGTTTGTAGAACAGTGTCAGTAGCTATACTGGCTTCTGCTGGCTAAGGATATGATCTACTGCTTCACATTTGCTTTTTTTCTCCAATGTTCTTTCAATAATTCAAAATCAAGGAGGGAATCTACTTTATCAGAGGATCATGACCTACTTGCTATGTATCTAATACTACTACTGGTACCATATGGTGAAAGTATATTTCTATCCACAGGTATGTACTTTTGCAATAGTTGGAAACTAGCTCTATGTTATAAACTTTCTTTAAGAGCCAGCACAAGGACTTTAACTTAGTAGCCAAAGAGAACTTTGCTCACAATTTCCCTTCTGTTTGGAATTTTTTACATCCTTAACATTAGCTTTATGCAGCTCTTGAATCGTATTTCAGTTTATGATACAATAAGCTAGATTATAAAATTGCCATGCACTAGCCTAAGTGGTTGTCTTGCAGTAAAGATTCTACTCTAAATGATATTACACATTCACTGAAATTATAATTTTATAATACTTCACCAGGACCAAGTTGCTGAACTCAGTTTAGTTTTCTACAGCAGTCTCTAAAAATATTCACTTACCGTTCAATGAGAAATGTTTTGGTAGGGTAACTAAGTAAACATGAATACAGAACATTAATAAAGGCTTTTTCTCCCTTTTCTTTTTCCACCTCTTTCCATATTTAGACTGCCAGATTGTCTGTGTCTCAGAGAAATTAATTTTGGACAGATATTTTTGAGAGCTTAGTAATTCAATGTCTTGAGATATTCCACTTCAGAGGTAGTGCTAGTATTAATGACAATACAAGCAAATTTCACAAGGACTTGGGAAGACAGAGCGATGTGTTGAGGCTACATCAAATGTTTTAATACTATTTTAAAGCTGAAAGTGAACAAAGTGGCTGCCAAAAGCTTACCTGGCAATCTCCCAAAATGCCTGAACTAAGACCTATTGAAAGCAATGAGAACCTTTCTGTGGGGATCACTGGGCTCTGTGTGTTTGCTTTTGGGATGTGATCAATAACATTTGAACTGAGAACTAGAACTTTCTGAGCTTCCCAAAGCTCAGGGGAGTTTTGCAAAATCAGATTAATTTCCATTTAAGACACCTAATAATGCCAGGAGACCTACTGTATTATAGCCTGAACATCTAACAGTAAACTAAAACAAGAACATTTCAGTACTGAAACTCGTATGTGTTATTATCTAGGATTTTTGTTAAGGCATCCTATAAAAAATGTTTCTGAAACATGATTCAATTCAAACAAAGACCATAAAGGGAGATTTAATGTATAAACTCTGAAGGTACTGTCTCCTGATTTGACATCTGCCCCATCACAGAGAAGGACTGCCAGATGAGCAGACTTTCTGCAGGCTGCACACTTTACAAAGTTTCAGCATGACTCTTTGAAAAAGCCAAAATCAGAAGTAAATTACTTTCACTTCCTTTCCCGTGTTCACTGCAGCTCTCAAAATGATATCTACTTATCATTCATCTGATTTTTTTCTATGATATTTTTGTAGTAAACAACTAACCCTCTTCCTCTCCCTCCCCTCGCAATCCCTTGATTACCGACTTACCTAGTGGCAGAACAATGAAGAAAGGTAGCCAGCACAAAATAAACATGCCAACCACAATTCCCAACGTCTTGGCTGCCTTCTTTTCTCTAGAGAATTTAAAAAGTTTGAAAGCTAAGGAGTTCCTGGGATTGTGACCCTTGGATTTGGTGCTGTTTAATGTGTCCTCATGAATGTTCCTGTAATGAATCCGTAAAGTCAGCTCCTTGGAGTTGGACATTTCTTTCATAACCCCAGCTTCCAGGTTTTTAGTAGTCCTTTTTGCCACTATGTAGACCCGACAGTACATCACGAGGATGACGATTAAAGGAATGTAAAATGATCCCAAGGAAGAAAACAAAGCATAGAATGGTTCTTCAGTGATGCGGCACTCTTTATCATCCTTGGGTGCTGGTTCTTTCCAGCCCAAAAGAGGCCCAATAGAAATCACCATGGAAAGGACCCAGACACCCAGGAGAGCTAAAATTGCCCTTCTTCTTGTTACCAAAGTTGGATACTGGAGAGAATAACGTACCCCTATATATCTATCTATAGAAATCGCACATAGACTTAAAATAGAAGCTGTACAGCATAGCACATCAACTGCTGCCCAGATATCACAAAATATCCTCCCCAACACCCAGTAGCCAAGGATTTCCAGTGTAGCAGAGAATGGAAGGACAGTAAAGCTCAGCAACAAATCTGCTATTGCGAGGTTAATTATGAAATAGTTTGTGGGGATTCTTAAATGCCTATTGCAAGCAACAGAGAGAATTACCAAGATGTTACCTATAATAGCAAAAAGTATAAAGGCACCTAGGATAAGCCCCACAATTATTGCCCTACTGATGTCCAAGGAAGGCAAATCCAGATTGCTTGCTGTCTCATTGGAGTTGTTTGCTGAAAGATTGCCATTATTTAGTGCAGACACTTTCAAATATCCAGGTATTGATGAATTGGATTTATCGCCGAGGTAGGTATTCATCTTAAAAATCATCCTCCATAGCAAGTTACGATTGGATCCTTTGCACTACACGCAGACGGTTTGAGTTCAGTTGAAAAGTTATCTCTCTACCCAAGAAGTTGCTGCAAAGCCCCGGCCAGTTTTAGATTGAGAACTCATCTCCCCAGCAAGCTGTCAGCTATGAGCACATAAAACTTGCACAGCGTGAAGTCCTCTGAAGCTGTCAGAAATAATAGGCTGTTCAAAGTTGCTTAATTTCTCATACGAACTCGTTTAAACAGAAATTAGCAGGCAGAAGTCTTGGCTGGAGCTTGAAAGTAGCTATTTCAGTCATGACGTCCCTGAAATAAAAGACAGGTTTACAGTTTTCCCTTGTGCATTTGTGGTTCTGTTGGAAGGATGCCCCTGTCTAGCTGCTGTGACATGCGTCTCCAAGAAGGGTTTGTCAGCATTTAGGCAGCTCTGCATGAACTGGCTGCCTGTGCTCACGCTGCCTGTGCTGGTGACATCACGGCGGCTGGCCCCGTCACAGCACTAGAGGGCAATGCAGTTCAAGTTAAAACTTCCATATCAAAGTCTAACAAGCTAAACAAATGGAATATATCAGTCTTAATTAAAGCATTTGCCATATAAATCTGGATTGGAAACCTTTAAAAAAACAGTTTCATTATCTGAGAAACATACACTCGGTGGGATGTGGTGAAAAAAGCAATTTCAGTACAAAATGATCTAGTGCTCTTTGCCTTTTGCTCACCAAGGAGTATTTGAGTTTATTTTGTAGCTGAAGTCAATCACATGCCATTTTAGAGAACTAATCATCTCCCACCTTCCGAGGACAAATAGGTTCTGAAAATCCCTGGTTTATTAATAGATTCAGTAATTAATGATGGCATACAAACATACATGGAGTAGGTTGTTTCTAATTGTGAACTTTTTGTCAATAATGAAGAAGTATCAGATTACCAAAATCAAAATCTCTATTAAGAACTTGATGTTTGTTCTATACTCCTCTGTGCCAGGCACATCTGTGGCTTCATCTCCTCTTTTCTACCTAGATAACTTTTCTAAGCATAGGTGCGTTGTGAAGCCCAGCCCTGAACAGAGCTGAGCACCCTTACCCACAGCCAAACTGCAGGCAGTGAAAAGTATTTCATAATCTTTTCCAGGTACTCTTTATGCTTAATTACATTTCTGTATCTTTGCTAAGGGCTATGAAATCACTGAGACTGTTGTTAACTCATTGTAGCTCTGGGAAGACCTACTGTATCCTATAAAAGAAAAAATAAGTAATAACTGATTTATTTTTTAGCTAATAGCCTTTAATGTTGAAAACAGTGGCTTTCTTCATTTTGTGTAGCTTTGGGTCACCAGGTGGGGAGAAATCTCTGATCTTTATAGCTCGGTGACACTAAAAACAAAAAGTGAAAGATTAGCTGAACATATAACTGCCAAAATACTTTCCTCAACTTTCTGTCATCAGATTATATCCTACAGCTGTTGTCTGCAGTACTCTGGGTTACTGTATATTGATTTTCCTGTTACAAAATGTACCGTGTTTAAAATAAAAGGTTCATTTTTAATAACGCAGCTATGGCTGCATGTTGCAGCTCAGTGCTGGTTTTGAGGACAAACCATGTAAACAAAAGCTCAGGTTGAATTTTATTTGGGGAGTGTATGGCAGATGTTTGTATAGCCCTTCCCAACAGCAGGGACTATAGCAAAGCACTATCGTTCAAAAACTTTTCTTTGAAACATTTACAAGAATGACATGATAACTTGCTGTGCAGTCAGTGAAGGGAAGAGAAACAAACTCTCAATTTATGAGCTTAGTCTCAGCTTTTCTGCCTCTGCTTTCTCCAAGGCAAGCACTTTCATTGCTAATAAAAGGAGTTAGCAGCCTTTGATTTTGGACATATATCCTCCACACTTACCATTCTTGCTGGACTCCACATAACCACTTAGTTTTGTTTGTGATTTCTGATTTTGTTTCTCTGCCTCCGCTGTTTAAACCATGAATTCCTCACTCTAGGGGCTCTCTCCTGCTACGAAGGTGCAGACACAGCTGCTGGGAGGTGTGATTACAGCCGGGGCATCTGACTTGGTACTACTCTCAGTGGAGTGCTGGTAGCACACGGGGTAGCAGGAGTAGCTGCTTGCCCAGGCATCCTGGTGGGATTGCATAGCCTACAGCCAAGCCTGCACCTTCCCACTATTGGTGCTTGAGCTAAATTGATTAAAGCTAGTTTGATTAGATCATTAGGTCTTGACATAATGATGTTTCAGCCTTTGGCATGTAAGAAAATATGATCATTGCAAAATGTGGAGAAGTTGGAGACGAAATGGTCAGTGAGGGAGTAAACTGGTCTACTTCAGTATGTTTAGCTGGCAACATGTGGGACGTGCCCAGCCTGCAAAGAATAACAGAGTGGCCTGTAACTCCTCCCTGGCTTTGGCCAGATCACATTAGGACTTTGTAGCCCTGAGGAACCAGAGCTTTCAATAGCCTTCCAACAGCCACTTCTAGGAGTCAGCTGGTTCCAGCTTGCTGGCAAGGTCCAGGACACTGTGCCAACAGCAGTGGCAGGAAAGGGCAGAAGGGAAAGGAATAAGGATTCTAAGTGGTAGTGGTTGAACTCAAACACATTTCTTTGCTCAGTATCTTTTGCTGGCAGGAGAACTGAGACCAGGAGAACTGAGACCAGTCTGCTTCCCTTAGTCGGGCTGCTTTCTGTGCCCCTCTAGATGAAACAACAGACAGAAAAGCCCTATTCTAGGGGACACAGATGAAGGCAAAGCTACTGCTCATCTCTTGCAGCTGGACTAAGGAGTCTGATGTGGTTTAACATCCTCTGTTTACCAGTCTGTGTAATAACATACTGGCTGAACAGGCATGAGGCTCAGCTGATTAATGTTCACAAATTGCTTTGAGATCTTCAATGGCAGGTGCTATAATAAAGCAGAGTGTATTGAAACCCAGACATGAGTGTTAAATATTTACCTACCTTTGGATGAATGAAGAATAGGTACCGTGAAAAATAGGCTACTTTTTCTGCCAAGTTCGAGGTAGCACTTCAAACTAGTGCAATCGGAAACATCTGATCAGAGAAATGCAGATTGTATTCATTGCAGAGTTACCTTCATTCAGATGAATCATAGTTTCCAATGAAAAAGTAAATTTAATAGCCTGGAGATTCTACTCAATTTTATTTCAAGAATGACATACAGCAAGGCCGGATGCCCTTTAGTTAATCAATGTACTTCTGCTTGAGAGCTTGCTGAAGCAGCAAAGACTGGTTACAGAACATAGGTTTGAGGAAACATGGAGAACATCTTCATATGTTCTTAAACTAGTTCAAAATTTGAAATATGCTGGACTTCTACAATGTATTTTGTTGTATCAGATAAATGATTCAAAAGGAGTCCTGTGGTCATGGCTCAGTTTTATAAAGGGCTGTGTTCCTTTTATTCTTCTTTTACAAAGTGATGTTAAAAATATGCACCAGCATTTTGGTCTGATTTCAGAAACACAGCAGAAGCACTACCAGAGCACTTTTGCAATGCCGGTGAGTAACAACACAGCCTGCTCCTAACAGGCCATGGGAGTATGAGCTGATGTAGAATTTAAATGAGTACACCTACATAGGGTTTTATGTAATTCCTCTAATTCTCTGATTTATTTAAAAACCCTGATAACTCAAAGAAATAAATAAACTGATAAGACTGAAAAAAAGCAAGGCTATAGTGTCAGAAATAGTCTAGTTTATTCAGTTTAACTTGAACAGTATCGTGAACATGCTATCACATTTGATATCATACCAGCACAAACCAGAAAGCCTTCCTCCCATGAAAGAAGTATGAAAAGCAAGAAGCAATGAGGAGGGCATTGGATGCAGCTGCAGAAATATCTCATTTCTTTGCCACTGCCTCTGATACTAAAACATTCCTGAGAAGTGGATTGAGGAGGTGGACTTGGGGAAGGTTTTTTGTATGATGGTGGGTGGGTATGTAGACTCATGTGATGCATAAAATGTATCTGCAGCTCAGAGAAAATGTGACAGACTGATTGTTTGGCACTAGGTTATTTGCTTCATAATATAGCTTCTTTGTAGATGGCGTCAGTCATAAAAAATATACTGATAAAAGATGAAACTCTTGTCTGTTTTCGTTAGAAACTTCAGTGTTAGTTACCTAGGTACACTTTTTTTTTTTTCTTGTTTTATTAATTACAGATGGTGCAAAATGTTACTACTGTTTTGATACAAGTGTTCTTTCTGAAGTGTTCTTTCTTTAAGAACCACTGGAGAACACTTAAAATCCACAGACAGTGTGATCCACAATATTTCTTTCTTTCATTTTCATTACAGCTGATTATCAGGTCTTTGTACTTCATAGAAAACCTCTTTGGCTTAGCCAGAGTTGTGAAAAATTTCCACAGGCATTGGAAATACACGGGATTATAGTTTCCTTACATTTCATGATTAAGCAGAGCTAGTTTCTTTTGAATGTGTGCACACACACCCTGAACCTCAGGAAAGGGTCAATTTCCATGACGAGAAGAGAAAAAATACATTTTAAATGCTAATTTTCAGTTGTCCGGTAATGATATTTAAAAACTTGTGGGTTTATTTTCAGCGGTGGGAGGAATAAGTGTATGTCTGCTTATGTAGTTTGCAGCTAAAAGATGCTTGGGAAGCTGATGGACCTCCCCCGCAGGGCTGCCATCCTGTTGCCTGGCTCCTGTTGCCATCATTCTGCAAGTGCACTGGAGGGAGGAGCTTTAGACAGATACTGGTTTGTGTCTTCTGCTCTGAGACTCTTACATGTCTTTCGCAAAGTACTGAGTTTGCAACCAAACCCTGCACTAGACCCACAAAGAGCAAAGCCAGGGGGAGGACTGCTAATCTCAGCAGGCTCCAGGACCTTTTTCTTTCTCTGTGTATCACAACATAATAGCACCATAGCATCCAGGAAGCACAGATGACTCGAAGCTGTTTCATCCTTCCCAAAACAAGAGAAAACCAAGAGTAATGAGG